GAGAAGATAAGAAGATGAAATTTTACAAAAATGTTTCCAAATCATGAGCGGTCTCAAAAACAAAAATAAAACCCATATACGGTTATCCAACAGTAAAACGAAAATTTTCCCGCAAAAGAAATTTGGAAATCAGAAAGACAGAAGTCTGAAGAATATTTTCGGGATGAGAACACTTGTTGAACTATCAAGCAGTGAAGATGTACTGTTGAAGACGTCCACCACCATGCAAAAATGTATGATTGCATCGATGACTTTGTTGCGTGTCGCCAGTTATTTTATTACTGATGACAAAATTTTTAGATATCGTACGATCGGAATTAAACGCTTCATTGTTGCTGCAGTTGCTTCGGGCCTTGCCTATTCGACACCTATTGTTTTTATCAGTTTTGTTACTGCTGATGATAAGGTCACAAAATTATTAGTTTGGTGAAACTGAAAGAGTATTTATTGACTTTGCTGACGCCCTGTGTCAACAATCGAAGCAGGTAGACCGAATCTGAGGATAGAAGTTCGGCGCTAAAAACTAGAAAGAACGAACAAACACTAGCCAAAGCTTCTGATGTAAATCTAGGACCGGTAAGATGGTACAGACTAAGTGGCCAAAATTTTAGATTTAATAGCTCTGTAGATTGGAATGTGAAGACCGATATGCATATACACAGCAAACCCTCTGCAGAACACGTTTTTGCATTATGCAGATGCAAAAAAAAAAAAAATGCATAAGAAAGCGGAGACATGGAAACTGTTTGGTTGGATGATTGTATTTGTAAGAAAAATAACTTCTCTTTCTTTGCGCCACTTGTTTTTTTTCTCCAAACTCCTTTTGGAAATTCCAGCAACATTGATAATTTATGATTACCAATATAGCTTTGACTGTAGCTAACGAAGAATTGTCATACACCATCATGTAAATAACGTTTGTTTCTATGACTATTTATTGCAGATACTGTGAAGCACATTCTAGACAAAGATATGTACGTATGGCTCAAACGAAAACTGTAGATTAAATCTCGTAAATTTCTGATTGATACGATGTGTGTTTTAGCTTATCGAGCCTTGTATTCCGTCACTGGCATCTGCACCACAACTAAGAATGATTAGAAATTATGTGTATATAAGCATTACGTTGCTTGTAGTTGTCCTGAATGCGATCAGTTATTTGCTCATTTATCGTAGCAAGAAGAAACACGAAACATGTATGTATTTTATTTATTGCAGTTTTGCAACAAGTATTTAAGTTCGGTAGTTTTTATCGAAAATTTTCACTTTCTTCACAGAATTTTAACTCCAACCATTACAGGCTACCCGGAATGATAGCCTGCGCGATCTTGATAATTTTGATAAAAACGATAGTATTTAGAAGTAGCTTGGGATGATGGCACTTGCCAACAGTACCACATCTAGGCAAAGCTTTCATTAGCTCCTCGCCGGCTTTTTTACAAATGCGCTTTGGCAGTTTGTTTATCTGAGACGCGACACTGCCAATTAACATCGAGACTAATAATGCACGGCGCAATGTAATTCAGCGGCCAGCAGTTAAATTTACGCCTTTCAACTCAATTTCTCCTATTTTCCCACTGTCATTAATTGATTTTGCAACCGCCTGAGTAAAAGAAGCAAAGCAGTCACTACGCTCTACTCTACTCTTAGCTTGTACATACTGCTCATATGTACTTCCAGCACAGTGAGTAGAAGGCTGTACTGATGATTCCTGCTCTCACTCGCATACTGAGCACTGTCTGTGTTTACAGCTAAGGGATGAAATACATACTGCCTCCTATATTTCTACACAGCGCTTAGCTTGTGGTCTCTCTGCTTGCCATCCCGATATTAGTGCATATTTGTAGTAAAACATATGAATTGTAATTCTTATCCTTGCTATCTTAATAAAGCTTCAGCTTGTAACTTAAGCAGAAATCAAACGGATGAGCCGTGAATTGCAGCAGAATACGGTGCAGCACATCGAATGCACGTTATCAAGTCGATGCTCGTCTTGATGACTATCTATGCTACAACTATGTTCGCATCATCCTCGACCTTATTTATTATCAATTTTTTATCATTTTCAAAGGAAACTATTGTCAGCCATTGTTCTAATATTCACTAACAGCAGTTTTCTTTGCTTTGTGACGAAAGAGCTCTTCCTAGTAGACTGTTTGAGGAAGCCGGATGAAGTGCGGAAATGCGTAATCAGTTATCCTTCAAGAAAGATATTTGCCTACTTCTTTTTCTATAAAACACCTAAAAAGCGCTTTGAAAGTGGTTTGCAAAAGACACTAAAGGAAGTTCATTCTCTTGAAAAAAATTTATTAAGTTTCACTTACTTAAATTACAGCAGATTTCTATTTATTACTTTTCGCATTTAATAAATGTTAAACCTCCACAAGATTCTAATCAAAGCTTAAGAAAGTTCTTTTTTTTGTAACTTCAAGTAATTTGTAAAGATGTGTTTGTTCTTAATGTTGACAAGTTTTCAAAAACGATAATTATTATATTGGGCAAATGTCTATAGATTTGGTTTGAGATGGCACATTTTAACGTGGCTTATGTGATTTGCGGGACAGCGTATTGATTGCAGTAACTTATGTTTATATGAAGCACGTTGTTAAGTTAGAAACAGAGTAAAGCAGAAATTAGTAAATCCATTCCCTGAAATTAGCAGAAATTAGTAAATCCAATAGTAAATCCATAAGGATTAGTAAATCCATTCCCAGTTTGCACTGTTGAACTCAAATATCATTATCAGACAATTATTTCGTCGAATAGTCTCAAGCTGAAATATCTTGTGTTACGGTTGGTGTTGACCGAAGATTTGTTGAGGCGCCGAAGCCTGGATCCTCCCCTCCACGACTTTAAAGTGTTTTTGATCCGATTGCGCTGCGACACTGAAGAACATCAGCGGGGCAAACAAGGAAGCAAGGCACGTTAACAACCGTATATCTGGAAAAGGTGGCATTAAGCACAGTGTTTTTGCCACGAAGGTGGGCGAGAATATAGCTACGCGATTGAAAGCTGGCTGTATACCCTCAGTGAAGGGAAACAAAGTCTCGCGAAAACATTGCATTTTTTAAAGTATGTGATGCACAAGGTGTAGCAATCTCAACCAGTCTGTATAAGATACCGTATTTATAAACTATAGACGCTCCGGCCATGGTCTAGTAGTTTGCATCCGGATGTGAAGATGAGTGGTGAAAAATAATCCAAAAAGAGGTGATTGGTAGGACAAATGGAACAAAAAGTGTTTAAATACAGTGGCAAAAGCATAAATAATTTTTCCTCTACAGCAGATGAATTTTCAAGCAGCTATCTTTAAAGCTGGAAAAAAATGACCATATTTTAATGTTTTTTGCTATTCAATTATGCTACTTTTTCTAGGCCGATATAACATCATTTATGTCGATTCTTGTGGTAATTAATTATGGATATACTTATTACGTTCTACTCTGGCGATGTCGTGATTATCGAAAAGCATTTCTGAGCCAACTGCACCTCTACGGAAGTAGCAGAATCAGCGTTACTACAGTGAAAGAAACACGAATTGATAAAAACATGAGCCCTATAAGACTCCCTTCGGTGAATTATATTTGAACTCTCTGAAGAAGTTATTATCTCTGACATCTTCTTTTAAGCAAGTGCAAAAACGTATACTGTGATCTACTCCAAAACTAGTGTCAGAAAAATTTAATTTTTTACAATTTAGTGATTCATTTTGATAGTGAAATGCTATTATTACTAGCAATGGACAAAGCCTCTTGTCATTAGTTTTGTAAAAAGGATGGAGAAAAAAGATTAAAGCCGTCACCTTTTAGTCTGTCACCCTTCTCCTAATGTCCACGTCATATGCAAAGAACAGTTGGCAGACCACCAACGTGCCGATCATTCAGCGTATAGAAGAGGATAAATGCGAAGAACTTAGGATTGATGTCAGTGATATGTTTGCCGACTACTCCATTGGAGAATTTTCCGAATGTGAATTAATGGTGAATTAGCAGCTGTTTCAAGTGTTCAGACACAGGTAAATTATGACCAGACGAGTTTCTTTGAAAGAATTCTTCCTGAGTTTTGAAATATTCAGGTACAGGTAAATAGGTAAATTACGACCAAACGTACTGCTCTTAGAAACTCTCCCTCATTGCGCATCATTTAATTTAAACAGTTTTTTATTTGTTTTCTCGTTGTGTCAAACTTGTTACTGTTCGATGCTTCCAGGATCATGATTTGTGTCATTGTTTTTATCAAACTTTTGTAGTAAGAGCAGTAATTTGGTCTGCTAATAAACTGGTATCGGTTGCAGGTCCACACCATCTGAAAGATAAAAGCTTTTCTTCCACCCTCGGGATAGCTGAATGGGAGTATTTATATAGGGTGGTTTGCTATAAAGGAAAGGTAGCAACAGTTCTAAACTAGCAGCTTATGAGTCATCTCTTTTAGTTTTGAAGGATGTCTCTTTATTCGCCCTCTTGAGCCTCTTTTCAACCTAACTCGACACAAAGATGCTCTTACTCATTTTGCGCTTACCATTCTATTGCTCCAACAGGCATAATAAAGTTTTGTTTCAGCCTAAACATTACAGCGACGACGCACACATGCAGAAGTGTGAAAATAATTTTTCAAGTACCGACAAGTAACTGTGGTTAATACAGTCGGTCCAAAAAGGCTAACGTGTGCTCCTTCAACAGGCCTGCAAAGTTTCAGCTTTCTACGTTGCCTAGTTCGCGAAATCGTTTCTCGCCAACATATTTCTTTGGGGGTTCCGTAAGCGGGGTTTAGGCGCGTATGGGGGAAGATGTTAAAA